GTCTTTTTTCTATACACAGCATGACCTATGGTGCTGTTAGGATTTCGGATGACTAACACATCTAGGAAAGCTAAGGAATTATTTGCCTCTAACTCCATAGTAAATTGAATTTTAGGGTTTATGGAATTAAGATGTTCTAAAAAATGCAGTTACTTTGTCTGATGGTAAAATTGTGAAAGTATCGTCTACGTACCGCTTGTAGAACCTTGGGGTAACAGGTGCAGTAAGGAGAGCTTTCTCCTCAAAGTCTTCCATGAATATATCGGCGACAATGGGAGATACAGGTGAGCCCATCGCAACACCATCTACTTGCTTGTAAAACTCTTGCTTCCACAATAGATAGCAAGATGTAAGGCAATGTCTTAGTAGTACTGCATATTCTGGTGGCATGTTATTTTCATCTAGTTTCCTTGTTATAATTGAGATGCAGTCTTCAACAGGTAGGCATGTAAATAGAGACTGAACATCAAAACTGACCATGGTTTCATTTTCAGCAAGACGTAGGTCTTTTATCTCACTGACAAAATGGTATGAATCCTTAGTATGTGCTCTTGTGTGTCCTCTGAGTGGTGATAATATTTTGGCTAAGTGTTGAGCCAATCTGTACGTTGGCGAATCGATTTGACTCACTATTGGACGTAATGGAGCGTTAGGTTTGTGTATTTTTGGTAACCCATACAACTTGGGAGGTTTTGCACACGAAGGTATCATCGAATTGACGTCTAGATTCAATTTCTCGGAGTATTTCTTAATTAAATCGCCAGTTGTTTTAAGCGTATTAGTTGTAGGGTCTGTTTTGACCTTACGGTACGTACTTTCATCCGACAAAAGTTGTTGTATTTTAAAATTGTAATCCGACGTATCCATTACAACCGTAGCATTTCCTTTATCTGTAAGGTCTGGTCTGTTGCGTAAGGTTTTTAACGCGTTAAATTCATTTTTGGGAAGATTTAATTTCGGCGCTGTACTTCGACGTAACATAGACGAAATGTCTTGGCGTATGGCTTCTAAATCTTCATTACCAATATTATTTTTATACAGACAATCCTCAACACTACAGATAATGTCTTCATACTTCATACTACACATCTGTAGTGTTGAGGATTGTCTGTATAAAAATAATATTGGTAATGAAGATTTAGAGGCCATACGCCAAGACATTTCGTCTATGTTACGTCGAAGTACAGCGCCGAAATTAAATCTTCCCAAAAATGAATTTAACGCGTTAAAAACCTTACGCAACAGACCAGACCTTACGATTCTCCGCGCAGATAAAGGAAATGCTACAGTTGTAATGGATACGTCGGATTACAATTTTAAAATACAACAACTTTTGTCGGATGGAAGTACGTACCATAAGGTTAAAACAGACCCTACAACTAATAAGCTTAAAACAACTAGCGATGTAATTAAGAAATACTTCGAGAAATTGAATCTAGACGTCAATTCGATGATACCTTCGTGTACAAAACCTCCCAAGTTGTATGGGTTACCAAAAATACACAAACCTAACGCTCCATTACGTCCAACAGTGAGTCAAATCGATTCGCCAACGTACAGATTGGCTCAACACTTAGCCAAAATATTATCACCACTCAGAGGACACACAAGAGCACATACTAAGGATTCATGCCATTTTGTCAGTGAGATAAAAGGCCTACGTCTTGCTGAAAATGAAACCATGGTCAGTTTTGATGTTCAGTCTCTATTTACATGCCTACCTGTTGAAGACTGCATCTCAATTATAACTAGGAAACTAGATGAAAATAACATGCCACCAGAATATGCAGTACTACTAAGACATTGCCTTACATCTGGCTATCTATTGTGGAAGGAAGAGTTTTACAAGCAAGTAGATGGTGTTGCGATGGGCTCACCTGTATCTCCCATTGTCGCCGATATATTCATGGAAGACTTTGAGGAGGAAGCCCTCCTTACTGTGCACCTGTTACCCCAAGGTTCTACAAGCGGTACGTAGACGATACTTTCACAATTTTACCATCAGACAAAGTAACTGCATTTTTAGAACATCTTAATTCCATAAACCCTAAAATTCAATTTACTATGGAGTTAGAGGCAAATAATTCCTTAGCTTTCCTAGATGTGTTAGTCATCCGAAATCCTAACAACACCATAGGTCATACTGTGTATAGAAAAAAGACCCATACTAACGGATACTTAAATGGTGAATCTCACCATCATCCTTCACAGTTAGCTACCGTGGGCAAATCTTTGTTTCAGAGAGCACGAGGGATCTGTGACAGCAAACACCAGGCCGCCGAGCTTCAGCACGTCAAGCAGGTTCTGCACGACAACAAGCTTCGGGTCCCGCGCCTCCGTCACAGTGACCGAGTGAAGCCGGCCACAGTCGAGCGTGTGCCTGCTATACTACCATATGTCAGAGGTGTCACAGACAAGATTGGCTACATCTTGAAGCGAGCTTCTATTAGAACATTCTACAAGCCGCCGAAGTAGATTAGTCAGTTCTTACCATCCGTCAATTGTCATATTCCTCTACAAGATGCAGGAGTGTACAAGCTTGATTGTGATTGTGGTCTCTCATATATAGGTCAAACAAAGAGATCAATTAGAACCCGCGTAAAAGAACACATAGCTGACGTGAAGCATCAACGTTCCGGGAAGTCTGCAGTTTGCGTACATATTCTAGATGGCCCCAATCATTACATCAGATTTGATAGACCACAAACCCTCGCGAAAGAACATCGATTCCTACCAAGGATGATACGTGAGGCTATTGAAATTAAAAAACATCCTAATTTCAATAGAGAAGGAGGCTGGCTACTACCACCTGCTTGGGATCCTATAATTATTACTATATCCTAAAATTAAAACTAAACCCAAGCATACCACTGCAAGACTTCAAAATACAGTTAGTTCATTCTGCGTAGATCGGACCAAATACAATAATTAAAAAGCTGAAGGTACTCCAGGTTAACTTTGACATCGGGACGTCAGTCACCTCAGTCCCCCGTGACCATGGGTGCTGGAAAGCACCGAAACCGTCGGGTAATAAAATTAATATAAATAAAAGGCGATAAAAACCGTAAAAGTAGTTTTAATCAACCCATATTCATTTTTAAATACCTTTCCAACAATATATCACACGTTAGGGTTGAAATTTAAAAAAAAAAATCACTTCCCACTTTACATATAGGGGGGCTATCCTAATAAAACATTTTTTTCCAATTTTTATTTTACCACTTTGTCGGCATGATTGATACACATATTGGTACCAAATTTCAGCTTTCTAGTGCTAACGGTCACAGAGATTAAGCGAGGACGGACAGACAGACATGGCGAAGCTATAAGGGTTCCTAGTTGACTACGGAACCCTAAAAAAGGAAATTGATTATTTTCTCGTATTCAACTATCCAAATTGTAACTTATTACAATAGGCTTAATATGTGTAATTCCAAATACAAATGTTTATAGCAATTTTAGGTCCCTGAGAGTCCAATTATAGTGAGAGAAGGATGTCTGTGTAGGCACGTGTGCTAGTTTTAACTCTTGCACTTTACAAAAAAATATATATCTACTTCAAAGCATTATCATTTGCTACATAGTCTTGTTATAATAATACAATAGATAAAGTGTGGGTAGACCAAATTGCATCTACACCCATTTTATTTAAGAATTAGATTAAATTAAGTCTAGACGTCGCAAAATTATAGGCCAAATTTGACTTTAGTCATTACGGATGTGACTAAATTAATTAATTATTACCAAAGAAATCAGTTTTTACATCAAATAAATACAAAATGAAAGTTTGTAATCAATTAAATTATTATCAATGTTAACATCTATCTCAAAACATCTATTTATTGTTTTTTAGTATTTTCCACTACACAAATTCAGTCATGAGTTTTGTAGTTCAAAGTTTCAATTTGAATTATTGTAATATTGATAGATTGATTGATATTAAGTTCAGAAAAGTTCAAACCAACACAGCTCAATGGCCATATACCGGCTGAATAATATTGTGAGAATGCCTTACTGTTTTATGGGAGATAAATTGTTTTTTTGACTACGTAGTGGTGGCTTATGAATATCTACTAACCCATATCATCCCCTGGGTGTCTTAAGAGGTGACAGAGTGAAATTAAAACAGAAGATGATCTGCAGCATTTTCTGGTAACAACTCAAAATAATAAAAAGCAGGAGATGGGTTGACAACCACATTTTTATTATTTTGAGCAGACAGGTTGGCAACTGCAAAGCATTGCAACTTTAGCAAAGTCCTCCCTATGAGGCAATATTCTGCAGTTAACTTTTATTGACTATAATGGATAATGTTAACTGTTTTATGATAATTTTCATTAAAGTGTTAAATACAGTTTATAAATTACACTGATTATTCTTATTTACAAATAACTTTATAGTAGTGTCTTAAAAGTTTCACATTTCCCAATATTGTATTAGTACTATAACAGATAATATATCAGTTTAAAATCAAGAACAAGTAATATCAACATAATAATAATTATAATAATAGAATAGAATAAAGCTTTACAATAGAATACAGCTTTCCAAAAGTTATATATGTAATTAATTTTTATTTAGCAAAAATATTTGATGAAATTATTAATTGGTACTGACTGGTCTGTAGTAGATTTGTAAGAGAATTCACCACTACATGTAATCCCATGGATATTGTAAGATGTGACATACGGAAATTAGGTAGAGGATGGGCAGCAGCATCTTTCTAATAATAACTCAAAATAATAAAAAACTGTAGCAACCTGCCCTCCAAGCATGGCACCTATGGCAAATATCCTACATATTATGCAACCTATAGGGGGGTTCTATGTTAAGCCTGGGACTTTTGATAGGTTTTATTTTAAAAAAATTTAAGTAATCAGTCTTTTTTATGGAAAATGAACGTTCAATGTCACGAAAGGATTTTAGTGTTTAAAAAGGTAATTGTGTGATATTTAAAAATTTATTCTGAGGAAAATATTTTTTTGAATAATAAATCTTACTTTTCCCTCCTCTTTCCACATCCTGCCTTTCATTTCCTGGTAACATAGACACAGAAAAGCACCGATAAGTCATATTAAAAGGTCTTGATATTTCATGAAACATGTTGAATCCGAACTGAAACTGAGAACGTGTATACTAAGTGCACAATGAAACATAATACATTCATAATTTAAAATTATTTTTGAATTTGAAAAGTATACCATTTTGAATAAATTGATGAAAAAGTTTCTAAAACAAAAATAAATTGCAAATCATTCAATTTCAATCTCGATATTTTGACTTCAGTAAAAAACAACAGATACGACAGTGACTTTTAGTCAAGTTTCCCAACTACGCCTTTTGGCGCTGCAGTCGCCCAATTTGACAGATGAGTAATGACTATACAATTTAGTATAGCTTAGGGATTGCAAGCACACATCCTTCAAATTATCGATATTTAGTGGTTTTTATTTTATCGATATCGACATGAGTGCATTATACAGGAATAATACTTAATGAAACAATTATAATACATCTAATTTATTTTTTATTGAAGCACACCAACATCATATACATACAAACGTAATCTTAGGATTAAATTAAAAGTACATTAAGTTATATAACCAAAATAGAAAATTGTGCACAACATTTTACATAAATAAGTACAATTTGATGAGAAACAGAGCAATATTTATAATTCATTAAATAAAGCAAATTAAACCACAGGAATCATTCAAGTGCTTAATATTTTACTTTTCAAGTTATTTTTTATTAGAAGCAATGCTATTTATTTTTCATCTGGGGTGCACCTGGCCATTCTTTTACAAAAATTAAAAAAACATCTTCTCTTCTTTAATTTCATTTTCTACACCACGTAACCTGAAAAGAAATAAATAAAAATAAAGTCCAATATTCATATTTTATGACTTAATGTAAACATTAAAGTAACAAAGGGTGGCTTCATGGCAGTTGGCATTTTTTATCAGTCAACCCATGGAGTGTTGAAAATAAAGTGGTAGATGCAGTAAATAAGAAATAAAAAACATATAAATATTAACATGGTATATATCTATTATCAGGAGCTTTCTCAATGTCTTCAGGCACGGAGTTCCAAATAAGTGTAACCTTAATACTAAAGGAGTTGTTGATAAAACCATTGAAGTGTAGTGGAACTGTAATCTTTAGATTAGATGAAGAACAAAGAACTCTAATCGTGATTTGAGGATAGATATGTTGAATATAGATATAATGGATGTTATCTTATCTTACCTAATTATGCCTAAGAATAAACTGAATTTATCATACCTTTATGCCAATGTGTACATTTTGTTATCTTCTGGCAACATTTGTCTCACCACATCAGCATTAGATTTCTATTCCTGAAAACAAACAATATTTGTGAATTTTATGTTCTTATACATAAATCCAAAATTAAAGAATAAATATATAATGTTATACTTCTTTATTGTATGTATTAATGCTGTATGGCTACTGTTAACAACAGTTTAGTATAATCGTAATTAAAAGTGATCTATATTATCATATAACTAAGTTATATGGCAATTGTATGTGGTAGAGCCATGCTGCAGGTATATTACTGGTATAAACAATTTGTTATATAGAATTTTATTATAGCTAGTTGTGTAATTTAATTCCCTTTATAATTTTGCTTAATTATGATCAATATAGCGTAATCATACTTTAAATTAATGCCAAATGTAGCACTTAACTCACAATAAATATAATGAACTTATTTAAGAATATTTTGACTTCAAACTTTTGTAATTAAACTATTAATAGCTTATGTACCTACATCTTAAAGCTAGACTAATATTATTTCATGAAGACTGCTATATAGCTAGTTTTGTTGTTAAATACAAGTACTTACTATAACTAAGATTAAACCAAAAATATACTAAATATACCTTTTTATATCAATCCTACATAATAAGTTTTAATAGTTATAAAAAAGGTAATTATAATTATCTCAACCCACCGAAGAGCTAGATAGAATCATTTACTCTGATTCGTATTGCTAACTCGAGTTGAAATTCACACAAAATCAATTCATAATTTTTCCAAGTTGGCACATTTATAAGATCAGAATTCCTAATACTTATTCACTTCACTTAGTTGTTGTTGTTTTAACTTTCATTAATCGTTTCACCATATCGTTTCATTATTAACCACAGCTTTTTTGGTGATTTTTTACTCCTCCTGCATTTATATATTTAAGTTTAGTGAAAAATAGCCTGTAACTGTGTAATAATGGTGAAAAATCACCTGTTACAGTGCAGCCAATAGATAATCTCACTTTTACTTATTCTACAATAACTCAGTTCCTACATTGACAAATCTTCGAGATTTTCAGCTATAAATTGTCTATATAGTATATGCTTACAAATGGTCGTACTTTTATCTTGTTAATACTTGGGCCCAAGAATGTATAGAGACGTGTCCTTCTCCTTTAAGTACCAGGGTTGAAAGTAATAAAATGACTCACCTGTTTCAGTCAGAGGCACACCATGATCTATTCAGTATTCATCATTGTCAGTAAGCAAGGACGGGTAAGAGTAACGAAGTCTTCTGCCTTCATTGTCGAACTGAAATAAGTATATCAAAATGTTCTTCACAGACACGTTTGTTAAGTAACTGTTCTTTGGAAAGTACAATGAGCTGGGGATTTGTCGACACTATGAAAGACATTCACAAGTTTCTTAAATTATCGTTCCTAGGGAATCTGAAAAGCCGGTGCGCTTCACGTGTTGTATTGCTACCACCAATACAACACTTTTCGTATACCATTATGATGGTATTTGCAATGTTCACACGAGCAGCACAAAAACAGAATATTGTAATAATTGAGGAAAATTTGGATAATTAATGGCGGCAATCAATTTTGATTTTTGACAATATGATTTGACATTAACAGAATATGGCGTCTCAAAATGGCGTCCGTAGACAGAGAACAAATTGCGACGGTGGCGCCAAGTTGCGTAGAATGGAACTAAGCTGTCACGGGCCTGAAGCACTGTCAGTTGGTGCCAGTCTGTCAAGCTATCAGGTAGGGATGGTCGAATATCATCGATGTTTAAAATTGAAACATCGATGTTTTAACATTTTAAGCATTGATACATCGATATCAATAAACCCATAATCGATTAATAGGAACTTGTGAACAATACGAAGCCGCAAAATCAATATCAACTAAATCTTGCATCTCTTATTAAAGGTTTAAAATTTTGAATAATTCAGAATTCCTTAACGCATCGATTAGTTATTACCATGGAGGTAAGCGAACAGGAGAACGATCGCCGTAGAAAATAGTGCCCCAGAAATATGGACACCATAAGAGTAGCGCTACGATCCCTTAGTTCGCTCAATAAAAGTCATATTCAGTCTATTTTTCCGATCAAATGCTAAATCACATGCACATCCAAGGACAATAAAATATTTCACCATTTTTTAATGTTTCTTTTTGTCAAAAATTAAAAAATTACGGAGCATGAAAATTGACTCACTAATGCCGCGAAGAAAATTTGTACATTACTCGACTAACTTCATCTACTTGTATTCATATACAGCTAACTTCGCAGCCACAACTCACCGACGGCAAAGCCGCTATAAATTCTACAAATTTTAAGGACGGGCTGTTCTCTAACCTCCATGGTTATTACTGTAAAATGTGAACTTAAAGTCACAGTTGTCACTGCTTTAGTTTTGTTACTCTCTGGCGTCGTTGATCGTTGTCGCTTGTCACCTAATAACTCGTAATAACTATTCTACGTAAATTAATGATTAATATGCAAACTATAAGCCCCACACGTTGATATTGCGATGGAACCTTGTCACGATAACAGCTGTGTGACTTCATCCCGTAGACAGCGAAACCTATAGACTAATGATTAGCGTGGCCTCGAGTGAGAAAGGACGATAACGTAGTTTTAGGTTATACAATAATCTTTATGACTTTTAAACATATAAAGATAAAAATTTTAATTGTTCTAAGAACTGAACTGAACAAGATTAACCAATTTTAAGCTCACAAAATACTTTTATCTCATTTAAACCAACTTTTAAACTCCTTAGACCGCTACGAACTGTCAAAGTTGTTTAGCAAAGTGTAGTTTGCTAAACAAAAAAACGGGCACGGAGAAAGGGACAAACAATCACACCGACCTGCCTCATTTCTATGCAAGACGTATACATAAATGTATCTGTTTCGTGTGCGAATGCGAAAGAAGGCGTCAATTTGTCTATAGGTTTCTCTGTCTACGTTTCATCCAATGCAAAAAAGTACAGACAATAAAACAGTTAATCTTCTTTTCATGTGAGGTGTTACCATCCCTGGTGAAAAAGTTAATAACCTAGAGTTATAGGTATTTATATATATTATATTTATATTTATGGGTATTATTATATTTATGGGTATTATTATATTTATGGGTATTTAATTATAAATATTTCCTACTAAATTACCTACTAATATAATAAACATCAAAGAAGTCTTGTTTGTTTGATAAGTTTTCATTAAACCTCTTAACCAATTTTAATGGACAACTAATACATAAAACTAAGTATTAAAAACTCATATTTATTAATACAATTTAATAATTCTAGAATATATTCTTCAATTCCACTCATATTATTATCTAATTAAGAACTAGTTTCAGTGTCCGTTGTATCAGATTCACTGTCGTCTGTCGTATTGATGATAAATAATTCGTCAGTTATTCGGTCTTTACGCCAGTATTCTTCTTCAAGTCTCTTCACGTAATTAACTTCTTTCTTCCAAATATCTGGAGTTATGGACGCCAACGACTCCAAGGTCAAAGATTCAAATTTACTTTCTAATTATTCTGCATTCTTTTCTGAAACTCTGGCAATCTGGTGGCAATCTTATTTCTTTATGACTATTGTCAGCTAACAATTTGTCGATTTTATAATTTTTCGGTGGTTTATGCTGTTTTATTAATAAATACTAACTTAGTTGGGTCACAAGTTCTGTCAGAACATAATTATTTAAAACATTTGAATACTGGTTAGATGAACTTTACCAATTTTAAAAATATAACGTCTGCGCTTGCCGAAAATAAAAAATAAATTAATTTTCATTCATTTTCAAATATGGAGTGATCGAAGACAAAAGATTGCACCGCTGTGGTTACCCGCCAAAAGAGATTTTCAATATTCTACAAAAATTGAAAATAACCCTACGATTTGT